GCCAGAAACCAACTTGAGCTAGCTTAAATGGAAAAGCAAAATTTATCTGAAGGACACAGGGACTCTCTTAGAACCCAAGTGCAGAGGCCCAGAGGGGTATCAGCAAGATACTGGACTCAGCCAGGGAGGCAGGGGCAAGGAACTGCGTTTATGCCTTCTTCTACATGCCACTGAAGGTGCTAGAATCTCAAGCAATAGTGTCTTCGTGGTGCCCCCATGCACTGGTGACCCAGCACAGCTCTTCCCGTCTTGCTCCTTCTGAAGACTGCCCTTCTCCAACCTTCAGATCATGGAGCCCAACTTGGTCACTAACAGCCCCCCAAAGACAATGACTTTCTTTCTAGGCCCCAATTTTAAGTTCCCGAGGACAAGTCTCTCAACCACTCAGGACTCAGGTCCTGGTCCAAACCATGGTAACTTAGGGAATAAGGTACCTACAGAATGGCCACCAGGAACTTACCCACTAAGAATCCAGGGCAAAGAGATAGGGTGGTGGGTAGTGCAGAGAGGGACAGACCTTTTTCAGATGGGATGTAATGGAGTCTGCACTAAATTTGAAAACATTCGCTAGCTTTAAAATATTCAAATACTGAAATTTCTAAGGTTGATCCAACCCAGTTAGTTCAGATAAATAAGGACAATATGTTTGAACCTCAGAAGCCCTCCTTAAAAGCAGTGGTTTTCAAACCTTTTTTACCATGACGCATAATAAGAGATCCAATATACTTAATATTGTGACCCAGCACATGCATACACATAAATATACCCGTTCGAAAAAATTCACAAAACCATACTTTACTAATTGCTTTGAAAACCCCTACACTGGAAAACCAGGGATGCTAATTCACCTTTTTCATTCTAGATACTTCTCTTTACTTTTAAAAGCATGGCAAATGCCATTGTGTAAATATAGACCTCCAGAGAGTTTTAAAAGGTGGCCCGTTCGAGATGGCAGACTGAGTAGATACATTTGCTTCCTCTTCTCAACACCAGCTACTGAGATAATCAATCAGTCACGTCCTTTTTTAAAAAAAAATAGTGATCACCAGAAAAATGAGGCTACCAACAGTATGAAAAATAAAGGCCAAG